AAAAAAATTCCTTACCAAGGCGGACCACAGTAAATAAAATCTACTTCACCAGGGGCAGGCATACTTGGAACTTGACGATCTAAAAAGTCTTGTAGAGGTTCTAAACTTTCTTTTCGACTGTGTTCAGCAATTGCTCTTTCGAGTAATAAGTTAGCACACTGGTTATAAGTAATGGCATGAGGATTATTCTTTCTATTATAGATTAAGGAATAATGCGTAAATAGAATACAAATTCGAAAAAAAAACGCGTAAAACTTATGAAAGAATACTTACTCAAAAGTTAAGGCTGCACTGGAGGCAAATTCGATTGCCCACATAGTTTCAACTATACCAGTTTTGTCCATGCCTACAGTAAGGCCGCCACACCCCGAAAAGATATCCATTGCTCTAAGTTTTTTGTGTTGAACATTTACGTATTCGATAAATTCGGACATCTCTTTTTGACGATTTTGTCTTTTTTCTTTACATAAAGGACACAATTGGACTTCATCGGCATCTATACTTTCAAGATCCGATAATTTAGGATATTTTTTCGTGGTTTTATAATCTATATAAAAAGTATCCATTTCGTCTTTATATGAATTAAGGTCACTTATCCTATCTTTATGCTCTACCCAACATAAACCTTCTACTTTATCCTTTATCTTTTTTATGACCCTCGTCTCACTCTTAAAGAAAAGTCTCCTACAATCTTTAACCTCACGAGAATCAAGTATAATATCTCGATACGTCGCTGTATCTAAAGTCTTACTTGATGGATTTGGCACTATAAGATCGTCATATCTTCCCAATAATCTAACACAAACAGCGGGTTCCTCAACCTTTTGCTTTCCGTTATTTTTCTTTTCAAAATAATCATCAACCGTTCTCTTTCCTGTATTCAAAAGTTCAACAATTTGACCGACTTCATATGGAGTATTATCATTTGCTTCCTCCGGGATAAGATACACAAAGTCGTTAAGGTGATAGTCAACTCCTTTGTACGTTAAACCTAATGAGGTATCTTGTGAATCTCCGTAGATCCATTTAGGATTTTGCTTTTGCTCAGCGGCCATTAAATTCTCACAAGAGTGACATTGTTCATACTCTGTACAATAATTGAACACAATCATTGGATCCTCATGAAGTCGTGCTTCTTCGAATGCTGCATATTTTTCGTCATACCAGAACCTAAAAAATAAATGTATAAGAAAGCATGAATTTGAAAATTGCATATAAAAACATTTATACTAACCGATAAAAATAGAAATGTTCATCCTCGAAGTCAAAAGACTCGTCTTCATCAATATCAAGACGCTTTACTTTGGCCTTTCCCATGACAGTTTCAAGATCATTATCGGTACAATTATCCAATAAGAAAATCTCTCTATCGCCGGCAAATTCTTCTAAAAAGGTCGATTTGCCGTGATTGAAGAATCTAGAATGGAACATTTTTTTCTTTGACGAATCCTCAAACATGTACATAACCTTTGCAAACCAAGGTTCATCAGAGTCATCATTCCTTACATAAACAACATCCCCTACATCAATCGTTTCTCCGTCAACCATAGCAGAATTATAATACGAAATGTCATCAATTTTAGCAGTTCGTTTTTCATTCCATATTACTTTATGAGTCACAGGTTTCGTAATTACAGGAGCTTCGATTTTGAAAAGGGGTTCTTTGGCATCCTCTGATTCATTATCATGCTTAACAGTAATAAATTTATTAGCAAACATTCCTTTAGTCAAATTATGAATAAAAGGGGTGACACAAGTCGGATTTTGATGTCGTAAGACAGACAAATTAGGATTATTCTTGGAACTCTTGATTGACACATTACGTTTGGTCTTGACAGTATCCGTGTCTCCAGAATGAACGTATTTTGATCTCTTACTCTTCTTATTCAAAATCTTTAGTAAACTTGTTAGGAGAGGACAAGAAAGAGCTCCATAAGCTTCTTTTTCATCAATCCAAGTTTCCAATTCTTGGTAAATGTATTCAATATTTTTCAAAATATCTTTCTCCGATATTTCCACTGTTGTGGAGTTGCTTAGGAATGATGATGTCGTTTTTAGTAAATCGAGGAATTGTTCATAAGTTATTTCCGGATTACTTGCTATAGCTTCAATTATAATATTTGCTGTTCGAATTTTTTTGAATACTGGCATGAAATATGGTACATAGGCTTCAGAAGCTTTAAGTAATTTATAAAACGCGTATTGAGTGCGAATCCAAATTTCACTTTCAAAAAAAACATAAGTTAGAAATCAATATTCTAATCATACTACGATTTTAAAATCATAACACAAACCTTTGGCCATCTTGCAAGTATTCAATTTGAAAATAGAAAATAGTACTAGTTCTAAAATACTGATCAGGGATTCGTATAGGACCATCTTCATCATCATACTCATCATCAAGATATTCATCGTCTTGACCAACATAAATTGGTTTAACTATCCCAGAAACATGAAGTTCACGACCTTCTTCATCTAACTCTTCGATACTAACCGCTCTATTTTTGCAGTTCACATCATAAATAGTGAATTCGTCAAGTGTACGACAAGGGAGAGAGGTTTTATCGGCTTCAAAACCATCACTAGATCCTTGATTAATAACAGGATCTTCACCGATCAATTCAAAAGATTCACTTTCTTCCACTTCGCCATCCTTGTATTTATAAATCAACGTCGTCTTTTTGACTAATGTTTGAAAGTTGGTTTAAAAATTGAAAGCCGATGAAATGAGATTATATTAAATATAACTGTATATTTACCAGCTTCCGATTTCTTAATAACTTTGTCCTTTGTATTTTTTGTGCCCTTTACCTTCGAATTTTTAGGAGATTGTTTACGCTTAGTTACAGTTGAAGATGATGACGAGGCGTAATCATTATTATCAACACCGCTCGTAGAACTTTTTGGTGGCTAGTTTAACAAAAAAATTCTTTAATTTTATTAAGATTATTACAATGATGTTAAAAATTAATAAAGTAATCTAACCTTTTCAACTTGATCTATGCCTGTGTCGATATCTATACATTTGATTCACAAGAAATAATGATATTCTTTGTTAGAGAATGTTTTTGTAAAACGCGTGCCCAGATTAAAACTATTATTCAAGTTGAACCATAGCCAATATTGACGCGTCTCCATCCTTTTATCGCGCGTATAAGTTCATATAACTTATTATATTCAAATATAAAGCATACCAATGTCCATATCCTTTACAGCAAGTTCAGATTGATTATCGATATCCATAAGTTTTAATATCGATAATTTTTTTTTAAAAAAAAAAAAAGTAATTCTTTCAAAGTTAAGATATGTTACGAAAAAAAGGAAGTGGGGAGGGTATTTAAAAATTTTTTTGACGCGTTATCGGACAACCATCTTGTATACTCTACATATACATATGTTGATTTACTCAATAAGTAATTTGAGGGAGTAAATATTTTACGTGCGGTATGCCTATATATAGATATTCTACACAATTACCGTACTTGTCACATAGGATCTATGTGATTATAAAATGTTCGTCACGTGATCAATACATGACTAATATTATAATTTTTCGTTATATAGTTTCGAAACAAATAAAATCTTTTTATTATATAATATATCATTTGATATTAGAAAATGCTTTTCCTGATGTCACAATCGCAAAGGTTCGCGATGATTTTATAACACTATTATGGAACCACTTGAGGTTCCGTCATATACGGATGGAATGGCGAATTAAAACGTGATCGATTCAAAAGAAACGTGTATGTTTTAAATGTCTACGTAACCAATAAGCAAAATTCTTTAAAAAGTGCTAATGCATCTATACTATAACAATTTTCGCGAATAAAAAAAAAATGAATCTTTTGAATAATATAAAGACGTGATAAAAAATACAAGGTTTGAAAAAAAAATTGTTCAATCCAACATAAGTTCACGTAAAAAAGGGGAGAGATTTAGTCATCATCCTCTAATTCGCCATCAGAGATATCATCGCCACCAGTTGCAATGCGAAATATACCCAAATCAAGGTTATACTTGATTCTTTTTAACTTCTCATTTCTCGCCTTATCTTTGAGCTGAACAGAACTTCGATTTCTTAACGGTCCATGAGTTCCACCGTATATTCTCAAGATTTTTGCCCATTGAGTGCCAAATTCATTCATACCGGTCTCCAACGCTCTTAATTCCAAAGGAGTCCAGAAGTGACGTCTTTTCCCTCTACGAAATTGATTATTAGAATCTTCAGGCGTCGTATTATCTGAAGCTGGAGTTTCTGTTGATACCTGAGGTTGTGACCGTTGAGGCACAACTACCAAAGGTGGTGGTTGATATACTGATGGAAACGGGGACGATTCTTTTTTTAAGTAAGGACTGTAAGAATCATCTTCTTTAGCAATTTCATCATCGGATGATGAATCTGCCGTCGTTGTGCTGAAATTTGGTGTTACATCTCTATATTGTTCTGAAAAGTTTCTTATACTTTTATTTGAACGCGTAGAACTCGTAGAACATGTGGAACTTTCTCGTGAACTATATAACGAACTTATCGAGTTTCTACCTCCTCTCCTGTTCATCATTATTTACCTAGAAAATGTTGATAATGTATAAAGGTAGGTAATTATTTTAATTTATTTTTTATTTTTTATATTTTATATTTTTACTCGAAAAATGTGACCTTATCAGAACTTACGGTTTAAGTCGTTAAAAAGGGTTAAATGAAAAAAAAAGAAATTTGTAACAAAAACTTTTTAATAAAACGAAAAGACAAAATTGTATTGTTTATAAAAAAAAAAAAAAAAAAAAAAAAAGAGAGAGAAATGAAAGCAACGTGTTAAAATACAATGAAAATCTGTGGTTTTTCGAATGAACCAATAAGGATCGTCAGTTTTTCGCGATTATCACTTACCTAAGAAAATAATTGCAACCCTTAAACTCGGATGTTTTATGAATTTTTGGACAAAACGCGTGTTCGCTTTGACGTCACATGTATCAATGCTGAAAAACTAAATGTCGTGTGATCTCGTTGAAACATTTAGTAATGATAAGTCAACAGCCAATCAATAAATTTCGGGTTTTTTTAATGCGGTTTGTACAACGAAGAAAAATTTTTTGGTGTTACGATAATTTTAACATAAATATTCGGATTAAAAATTATAAATTGTTTTAAACTTCGTTCTTCGGAAAATTCTTTAATGATTATCCCTCTTTTATGTAAAGAAGCTTGAAATTATTTTATTATCAAACGGGTCGACAAAATTCAATACTGTTTTTTGTCCTATACTTAATTGAAAAATATCTATAATTAAATTAAATTACTCAAAATTTAATAAAAGTTTTTAAATCAGTGAATCAAAATTTATCAATGTTTGTTTATAAATAATTATTTCATTATTTAGTTTAGTATCTAAATAAGTTTAAGTCAGACAAAATATTATTAATTTTGATTAAATCACTATGAGAAAAGCAGCAAAACGTAAAGTAAGCTATGTGATAACACACAATAAAGATGATCACGGTCATTTATTAGGCATAAACAGTTTAGCATTAGACACCACCACTTTTGACTCTTCTGGTAAACCAGGAGGAGTTTTATATAGTGCAGGAAGAGATGGAGTAATTAATTCATGGGATTTACACTTATCTTTGAGAGAACGAAAGATACCAAAATATAATTATAATAATTTAAACGGAATTGAAGGAAAAAAAGGAAATGTTAAGGATGATGATAATATACCTTTACATCAATTTAGTGAAGTTAAGAACTGGGAAATTGATGAAAATGCTTCTTCAAGTTCAGTGAGTGTTTTCAAAAGGGAAGGTGATTCCTTTAAAGGAACTTATTAAAGAAAATTTTCTTCTTTATAGCAGCCAACACCAAAATCAACGTTTCGGCAATCATTTCAAAGTCATACGGATTGGGTGAATGACATAATACTATGTCACAACAATGAAGCATGTAATTACTATTTAAAATATATTAATGTCTTTAGAAATTTTCTTTTTTTTTAAAAAAAAACTTTTAATTCTCAAACTCTTTTATATATATTTAGTGATATCGTGTTCGTCAGATCGAACTATGAAATTGTGGTTTCCACATAAAACATCAATACCATGTACAATAGGATATCATACAGATTATATAAAAGCATTAGCATATGCATCCGGACCAGGTTGGGTGGCAAGTGGAGGGTTTGATAAAAAAATTGCTTTATGGGATATAAAAGAATGTAGGCTTGCACCATCAACATCGAGTTCAAGTGGTAATATTTTTGGAGGATTATCTGAAAGAGATTTTCAACCTATAGGTATGGCAAACGAGATAACGGGAATTGAAGCAATTGTAATTTAACATTTCTTTTTTTAATATTTTGATCGAATTATTTTTTATTAGTTACAATAGCTGAAACCTCACCTAAATCATCAGTATATGCACTTGCATGTAACCCATCAGGATCCGTTCTTGTATCTGGATCACCTGAAAAGGTAAAATTCTTTATAAATTGTAATAATCTTTTATATTATTTATTTTTTTTAATCAATTTATTCTTTTTAAATTGACCCTTCTGGTTCAGGTTATAAAGGTATGGGATCCAAAATCTGGTAAAAGAATTACGAAATTATCAGGACACACAGATAATATTCGAGCAATATTAATAAGCGATGATGGAGAATTAATATTAAGCGGATCTTCAGATACAACTATAAAATTATGGTCATTATCAACACAGAGATGCATTAATACTTTTACAACACATTCAGATTCAATATGGTCTTTGTATTCTGATCATCCTAGATTAAAAGTATTTTACGCGGGAGCTAAAGACGGATTAGTTACTCGTACAGACTATAGCGAATACGAAGAAATTGATGATGGTGAATGTGTCGCCATTTGTAAAGAAAATGCTGGAATTGTCAAAGTAAGCGAGCGAAAGAGTCATGTGAATTGCGTGAGGGATCTGTACTTAATTTTGGTTTCTTTTTTTTTTTAATTTAGCTTGTGGCTTTGGATAATAAGTATATATGGACGGCAACTTGTAGTTCAAGTATTAAACGATGGGTGAGTTTATCAATTTTTAATTTCGTACAATTCTCGTCTTATAGAGTTCATATTAAAATAAATCAATTTGAATTTATTATTCGATCTTGGATTTCCAATAGCAAGATGTACCATTGAAGAAAGATCGAATAAACTTGTCAACTTCTTCACCACCATCATCTACTTCCCAAAATGCATTTCAGATCCCATCATCGTCATTAATAAAACTTACGTCAGCAGTATCGCCACCTCAATTAATAACAGCCACGACAGATAGTGAGGTAGCGACCATATATAGCGTAGCAATAGATGAAGGCCATAATGATATAGATAACGAAGATCCGGAACCAGTTCGTGAGATGGCAGATCATATAATAGAGGGACAACATGGATTAATTAAATATGTTATATTGAATAATCGTAGAAATATACTTACTTTAGACAATAATGGTGAAGTTACACTATGGGATATTATAAAATGTGTTAAGGTTAAAGTATTTGGTAAATGTAACATTGATGAAATCGCCCAAGAAATCAACACACCAGAATCTATACCAAATTGGTGTTCCGTTGATACAAGAATCGGTGTAAGTATATAACTTTGGAGAGTAATATTTAATTTGGGGTGATTTCTTTCAAAGTATTAATTATAATCATTTTTTTATAATAGGCATTGACAGTACATTTAGATGAGAGTAAATGTTTTGATGCAGAAATGTATGCTGACGAAGCAGGATTGACTGGAGACGTAGATATAAGAGAAGATCAGCGAAGTAATAATACTTGAAGATTTCTATCACTGTTGTCCATTGTGATTATTTTTTACTAATTTTTTTTCTTTCTTTATAATTGTAATAGTTAATTTAGGTAAATGGGTATTAAGATATTTATTTGCAAATTTTACCCAAGAAGAAATACATACATATGAGGCAATACAACAACAAAGGTCATTGATGCAACAACGACAGCAACCTGGAAGTGAACATAGGAGGTATGAGAGTAAGGGAGGGACGAATTAAGTTGAAGATAATCTTATTACTTTTATTAATCCTTCTTTTAATACCAAAAAAAAAATATATATATTAGCTTATTTGCCACCCAATTAAATGTAAATATACCACCACAAGCGGCAACATCAACAACGTTTACATCGCCAACCGCATCAAACCAAAATTCCACCAATAGTAAAGCAAACCCGCCAATGGCACCATCACCAACAACACCATTAGCAGCGTTTACAACAGGTCCATTTACGGCTCCCGCGACAACTAGTTCACAACAACCAGATTATTTTAGTGGGCCACATCATTTGAACTCTCCTACCACATCTCCGACGACCCCGCCTGGTAATTTAAGCACCACAACTACAGATGGAAATAATAATGGTAATAATAGTAGTAATGTAAATACTGGTACTTCCGCCTCTACTAATAGTAATGTTGTTGTCACTACTACCATACAACCACCACCGCCCGCACTTGTTAATCAGAATACTAGTAATAGTGGGGCCACCGTTAGCTTTATGAATAGAGTTAAGCATACTTTTAGGGGTAGTAAAGTTACTAGAAGTGATAGTAATAATAAACCAGAAGGAAATAATAATGGAAGTAATAATGGAAATAGCAATGGTGGAAGTACTAGTAATACTAATTCTAATACAAATGCGACCGTTTCTACCACCACCTCTACCGCTAATAATGAGGCTAAACAACAATCACAAGAAGAAAATAATACTCAACATGATGATACATCGATCAATTCTCCAACAAGTTTATCATCATCAGCAACAATATCCACACCAACTTTATATCATCATCCGCATCATCATCATCATCATCATCATCATTATCAAATAAGACAGATGCATCCGTTAATACAACCGCCATTCAACCAATATCCACCTAATGAAACGCCGGAAATACAAATACCACAACATACCACCGTGATAATAAGCGAAGAAAGCCACGAAGCTTCTACTAATGTTGATTTATATAGAGGTACTCTTGATGATATGGAAAGGGATGCCGAAATTATTGAACAAAAGGCACCAACTTGGTTAATTGAATTTTTAATTAAGGTAGGTTTACTAAGAGGGATTATAAAACTTTATGTGAATTGTTGCTCGCTTTTTCTAATTATTTTCTATACAGAATAAGATTCCTGCTAAAGAACCTGTAAAGGTCAGTTTCATATTAAAACCACATGAAGGTTCTGAATTAGATGAATTACCAAATGGAAACGCAAGATTAACTGCAAATAGAATGTTAAGAGTAAGGAAAATATTAGCTTATATAGTAGAAAAATTAGAGTTAGATCAACCACCAATTAAACCGATTTCTTTAACAACAAACAATAACACCACTAATAATGGCACTATTATTTTCAATGGACATTCGGTTACCGAATCTACAAATGCTAAAGATAATGGTGGTGGTAGCATGACTGCTACACTACTTGCTACAGAAAGTCTAGAAAATGCGTTGGGTGATGCTGAAAAAAATACTGATGAAGGTAGTAATGAACAAGATAATACCACCGGTAATAATTCACAAAGTACAGCCGCTGTTGAGGAAGAAAGAAAGAATGCCATGAAACCTGAATTATGGTTAGAATTAGTTTGTCAAGATCAGGTAATTCACATTAAGAGAGAAAAGTATTATTTAAAATAAGGAAATATCTTGATACGCTTTTCTGTTTTGTTTTTAAAATAGATCTTGCCTCCTACCATGACATTGGCTACTATTAAATCTCAAATATGGAAAGCATCTGGTGATTTAACAATGACTTATAGGTATGTATAAAAAAATTTCAAACTAATTAAATTAATTGTTGATTTTTATATATATATATATTTTAGGTTGAGAATGAAAAGCGTTTGATGGAAAAGGAAATAGATGTAATTATAGAATGAGTTATTTTGAAGTTTTATTATTTAATTATTATTTAGGAACAAATTTTTTTTAATGGTGTGTATAAATTAATATACAATAGAATTTTGTAACACAGAAGAAATGTAATAGAATTATTTTTGTAAAATGAGTTATTTCATTATTTTCTTATAATATAAATAATATAAATTTACGTTAAACATGATGGATGTATTTAATAATTATTTAAATGGGTTTAACTACAAATTTATCAGTAATATTTACTTTTATGCATGTAATATATCAATAATTTCCCTCGTTTAAACATGATCAACAAAAATTTGCCGTGGCGTAGCAAACAAATTAATATTATTAATATCCAAAATAAATGTATGAAATAATATATATATCGTAAAGAAAACAATATGAACTAATTTTTCTTGAATTATATAATATAAAGTCACGTCATTTATTCATTCAAAACTTACTAACTTACTATCGTTATATAATCTGTAATATGATTTTACAACGCACATGACATAAACGTTCATATCGACAATTTTAAAAAAGTTTGATTCTTGCGAAAGCTGAACCGAAAAGGTATGTGATCCACGAAAGTATCAAAAGGACATTTTCTTTCGTTTTTTTTTTTACTCCAAACATCTTATTGAAATTAAAGTTCAAATTGCCATAAGAGATGCTTAAGTTTTACCAAAGATGTCATTTTTATCTTATTTTTTATTTATTATTATTTTTTTTTTTTTTGTTAATTCTTCATTATTATTATTTGCAAAAAAAAGTATTTTGACATTTAAAAAAAAAAAAAAAAATTTTTTTTTTCTTTTTATTAACATTGATCAATATATATATATAAAGAAAAAAGTCTATCGGAGACAAAAATTATGTAAAAAAAAAATTTTTTTTTCATTTATAATATTTATAATGTAAGTATATTAAACTAATCTATGAAATATATAATAAAATGAAACAAAAAGAGTTGATTGATTTAAAAGCTTTAGATTTCAAAAATATTCGCCTGAGCATAGCTGTCTTCACCCCTATTGATACGCATAAAAGCACCGTCTACTGAATTTGGGTTTTCAGGGGGAGCTTGGGGAGCTTGACGTTTGGAAAATGTATCGCAAGTGCGTTTGGTTAATCCTGATCTACTGTTCTTCGTGAGTAGGATACCATCCTTGGCACAATTAAGATTGATATCATCAACCTTGCTTTTGAAAGCTTTGCTACCCCCTTCAGAGAACTGTATGTTCAAATCTTTTGTGACGTCACGGAGGACTTTACCGCAATTATCAACGATTTTAAAAGTATAGTTTTGGCTTGTGTCTTCGAAACCTGAACTGAAAAGACCTGTGATGGTAGTGCTTCCACACTCATCTTGAGCGTAGATGATTATACCATTTACTGGACCCGATGTGCCATCGAAAACTGATTCTGCAAGAGCGCAAGAACAGACTCTTGTGTTTGTCCTTTTACCCAAAACGTCCCTCTTATGAAGACAATGGTTTGTTCGTTTGTCAAGTTGACTATTCTGTGATGGTAAGGCTGCTGAAATAGCAAAAAGTGATAAGAGAATGCATGCAAAGATGGTCAAAGATTTCATTTTTTTTTTCCTTTTTGTTGTCTTTTAATAGATGATTGTTTGAATATATAATATAAAAAAAAGGAAGTTGTTTGATTTTCAAGAATATATTTTTTTTTTTGAGTTAAAAAAAAAGCTGAGGGGGGAACGGCCCTTTTTAAATGACGAAGAACGGTTTGAAATCATTTTATTTAAAGTAATAACCACCGAGGTTACATTTAGAATATTAGAATACTAAACGTATTAAATTAGCTCTCCTGCCATTAATTTATTTAATCCAATAAAACAAACACTTGTAAACTAAAGCAATTAAAGTAATCATCATGTTGCATAACATTTTCCCGTTGTTGGTCATCATCGATCAAAAAGACTTGTTGTTTGTTTATTTTTATTATTAATTGCACGAATATAAAAATAGATTAAAAAAAGGGTTTTAAATAGTAAAATGTTGATATTATCTTGTTTTATTATGTAAAAGAAGTAAACAAGGAATTGATAAGCTCTCTATAAAAAAAAACTTTCTGGATAAACGAGACAAGGTCATTTGTGATCCATTCTTTCTCTATCTGTTTAGTGCGAACTGACTACTTCCCTTTTTTTTTTTTTTTTTAAAGAAATAACCATGTAAAATTTAACTGAATTTCTAGGTGAATCCCCTGCATAATAATCAGATTTTATAATCCATTAAATCCTTTTCGGCATCTCCGAATCTATAACATGATTGATTCATATAGAAGTACTCCATATTTTGCTTCTTAGGCTAGTTGATATTTATAGTTCAGTCGAGACAAGGGGTAGGATTCTATATAGAAGAAAAATCGAGAACCATTGACAAGGTTCATAAAATTATTGGCTGAAGCAGGTTTAACGAGTTTCAACAATATGTCATAACTGACCTATAGCCCAGGATCATTTTAAGGACAAGTGGCTTATACTACATGTTTTCTTTTAAAAGAAATTATTTATCAAATTTTAAATTTCATTACATTAAATTTCATTAATTCGTTGAAACACTCGTGCATTTATATTTTTGCAACAAAATTAAACTGAAACAGATCAAGGGTAATAATGTTTGCAATACAATTAATCATTTAAAACGTTTTAATAAAAAAAAAAAAAAAAAAAAAAAAAAAATAAATAAATAATTTTTAAAGGTAAGACCATTTTGAGCATTTCTAAAAGTTCTAATCTTTTTTTTTTTCCTGCTTAACAAATGACCCTATCGCTATATCCTTTTTGTAAATATCCCCTTACTGGATCCTGAGATGAGTTTGGTATGATTTGATTGTATAACGAAGGCGGTTTTTTTTTATATATTATTTATTTTACTGTTACTTGAACTCCGAGGTCGATCATGCCCAATAATGATAACAATTAGAAATGCAATAATATATAACATTCGATATTCTTTTTCATCCCATAATAGAAAATAAAAAGGGATATCAAGTAATGAAAAAGTGAACAATAAATAAAAAGTACCTATAAAGTAGACAATTCGAGCAGATTCCATCCTTTATAGCAAGAAAAGTTTTCATTTATATGCATCCTGTTGCATCATTCTCAAGATTTTTTTGTTTTTATCATTTAAATCTTTTCTTATTCTTTTGTTTGATTTAACCAAAGATTCGTTTCTCTCCTTTTCATCTTGTAACTTTCTCTTTAACCCTACATTCGAGGTCTCTAGGTTATTGCACTCTACTTTTGTCCTGTTCAATTCTCTTTTAGTATCATCAAGCTTCTTTTCCAATCTTTTGAGGTAACTCTGAATATCTTGATTATTATCTACAGGATCTTGTAATCCCTTGATTATCCTATCCTCGTGTGACATCCGATCAAATTTTTTTTTATCCAAAATCATTGTTGACGTGGTGTTTAATTCACAAGTATATTTGGGTTTGTTACTTCTAGTATACTTGCTAGAATTATATAATTGAGAAATCGTTTTTACTGGTGATGCATGAGATGGCTTAGTAGGTGTTGTGTTTTCTTCATATTTTCTGCAAAAGAAATCATTCAAAGATTTTTTATGCCTTGAAAATTTAAGAGGTGTATTAACCATCCTTGGTTCTTCCCAACAAAAAAATTCACATCTTTCATCGTGCATAGAAGTTCCAAATTTACTACAACTATAAAATAATTTCCCCCGATTCTTTCCTGATTTCACTTGTTTCCTGATACTCATAATACCGCAATTACAATATTTATTAATTAATGGCGGTGGTGGTGGGTTCGGATAAACAATATTTGGGAAAGGAATATTTGGATCTTCTCTGTGATTATAATAATGAATATAATAAGATTTATTATTTTTTTCTAACATATTATAAAAATGGAAAATGAAATAAATAAAAAATGAAGGATCAAAGTGTAAATAAAAACCGAGAATGAAAAAAAAAATTATTGAATTATTGAAAGTAACAAATTTTTGTAAATTCTGAATTTTTGACAAAACAAATCCCAGTATACAAATCTGTATATAATAACAAATGACGTAATCTTTAAAATCATTGGCTATAATTCATGTTCTTGGAAATATTATGTTTGATTATTTTCAATAAATCACGTGATAATTGACTACAACCAAATGTAATTTTTTATCTGAAAAAAAAAATTATAGGAAAAAGAAAACATTCATTATTTTCATTATATTAACCTGATCGAATACGTCCTCGCATTGGTATCAAGAGCAGAATTAAAATTAATTCGACGAGAAAACAAACCTTCGTTAATAGAAACGTACCAACTTACTTATGTTTGATGGTGACGAAGCTCCACATTTTAACAGCCACTTTCTCTTCAGTTTGTTAAGTAATTATCCGATTGTATATGCCAAAGATATAAATTTTCTAAAAAAAAAAAAAGATCATGTAAGCACACACGTTTATTTTTATCCCTTGAATGATGGGCTTAGTATGAAATTAACCAAAAATAGAATTACCCCCCATTAATATAGTTAATATCAAAAAGCTAAATTTTTTTAAACGCCTCAAGATATTAAACTCTATTGCAGTTAGACAAACAAACAAATAATTATTGGAGCGTTTACTATATCGGTTTTTCATTATTAAAATGGGGCTCATAGTTTTGGAAGAAAACTTAGTAATAACCGTCATCGCGGCTTCGGTTCAGTAATAATAACCTTGGAGGATTTTAACCTATTTAATGTAGTTTTTACATCATATTCATTAATTTTTCTTAGATGATAAAGAACGAAAAAAATATCTAATAAATAGAAAATTAGCGAATATAAATTAGTAAAGATGCGTTTTTTTATTTTTTTTTTGAAAATAAATAATTCGATTATTTTGTTTCCCATTATTTTAAACAAAATAACCGGTTCAAATATACGCGTTAATTCACGAGAATTTTTAATGTTCATTTCACAAATCGTATGATTAAAATAAGAAATATGAAGAGTTTGAATGAGTATTTATGCATGCATATCACTTCATTATAATATAAACAAAAGACATTTTGAATAAAAGAATGAAATAAACTAAAATGCACGTTAGTTACTATAAATAAATTACAAATTCAAAAGAATAATGGTAGGGACACAAAATGTAATCGTAACAGTATAAATATTCAACATTCAACGCTTCCTTTTATTTTATTCTCAATTATATTATTTTTTTTTTAAAAATAAATAAAAAATTAAAACGATGATAAGAATGAATTTAATTTGTGTTTTCATAGTAATTCTTTTCATATCCTTTACCCTTACCAAAGGTGCACCAGTTAATAAAACTTCATTTGATAAATTTATCGTATTTGGAGATTCGATTTCGGGTATATTAAAATCATTTTTTTTTAATTATTTCGATTGATATGGAACATTATATTTTAATACAGATTTTCTTCATATAAAAAAAAAAATAGATGTAAAGAATTATTATAAAGCATCAAATGAATTATTTCCAAGCGGTGGTTATTATGACGGACGATTTTCAGATGGTCTATTATGGTGCGATTGGTTTACCAAATCAATAAATGCAACCATGGAAAATTATGCCTTTGGTGGTGCGGGTGTTGAGTAAGTAATTATTCATATTATTCCTATTTATTATATTTTGTTCTAATGATAATTATTTTATTTTTCCTAGTTCTGATTTGGTTGCACCTAGTCAAATAATATCTACAAACTTTTATCTCGTAATACCAGGAATTAAACAGCAGGTTGATTCATATCTCGCTAATGCCAATAAAAGTGACGATTATACTAATACTTTGTTCTCTGTAAGTTTTATTATCTTCTTTTTTTCTTTTTTTAAAAATAATAATAATAATAATAATAAACTTCAATCTTTATTAGCTTTGGCCAGCCGGAAATGACTATCTTTCTTTAGATTTTAAATTAAATCCCGAAATAATAGTGAATTCATTATCCAGCTCAATACAAAGGTTAATTACAACCGTGGGAGCGCGTTATTTTTTGATAATGAATATGTCTGACGTGAGAAAATCACCTAGATTTAATTCAAAATCAGACGAAACAAAGGAACTAATAAATTCAATCGTACTCCGACACAATGAATTACTCTCCTCAATGGTTACCAACTTATCAAAAGATTATAATATACAAATCTATTTTATTAATGCTTTCGAAATATTCGATCGAGCCATGACTAAAGAAGGAGAAAGTTTATTAGGTATAACTAATATTGTTGATGCTTGCCAATCTTTACCCGTCATTTCTCTTCCAATTTGTGATAAATATTTCTGGTTTGATAATGTACATCCTACCAGGGTTGTTCATAAAGCTTTCGCCGACGAGATTGTTAATCAACTTTTGAAATAGGACTTTTTTTTTTGTTTAATTTCATTTCATTTTAATAATTTAGATGATTCAATTAGATTATTTATCAATAGAGATATTATTTATTAAAAAAAAAATATTGTTGAGGTGATTTTTATCTCCGCTATATATGAAATATATATATATATTTAAATCAAAATTCAATAAAATAAATGATTTGTAACAAAAATTTTATCAAAGTTATGTTGTTGATAAAATGTTACCAATCGGAATATAATATTAATATATTAGAAAAAATGCGATTGATAAGCTGATATTTTGCACGTGATTATTGGTTGCGAATCTCGTGCGAAATTAAAACTATTTAAGTGATGATCGCTGCGTAATGTGTTTCTCCAAATTCTGCATACACCCGTATACAAAAAACGTAAAATATGGCGGAAATGACTCAGATTCTTTTATTTTCATGGAGCGGAGCATGACAGATTCTCAAAATACTGCCGCCACCTCTCAAAATACCCAGGGGCTGTGTACTGATGAGGAGATAGATAAGATGAAAAAATATCGCAATTACTGGTGGAAAACCGGTAATTACCACCCGAAGGCCAAATGGGAAGAAGCAAGGTTAAATAAATCTCTTTTTCTTTTCTATTTGTTCGAAAATTTACTATGGTGCACGCAGTCTAAAGCCATCACTTATTTATTTTGTGGCCAAATTTCATTTTTATAATAAAATCACGTGAAACAAATTTTATTGGTTAATATTTAAATCATATGATTAGAAAATTCAACGGACTAATCATTTTATTATTAAGAATTTACATAATCTATCACATTTTCAGGTAGCCGCCGATGTGATCTATATTGTTTCACAGCATATAAAGCTGCAAGACCTGTTAGACCTTTTCTGTAAGCATCCATAAACCTCCAAGAACAACAAGCATATTGTCTAATTTGTTCCAAAGAAACAGAATTTAATGAATGAATAATCACAATTATTTCGAGCATATCATTTAGCTGCATCCCAGAACATCTCAATATAATTAAGTTTGCAATGGAACTTTGGATAAAATATAACCTTATGTCCCCGATTTTCAATAACCTCTTTTACTAATGGTTGTTGTGTCAAAAAATCAGGTTGGAGTGAAAGCACATGAACTGCACAACAATTAATTAAAATTGGTAAATGCTTCTTGCAATCATCACAAATTCGTTTCAATTGACTTTGAGGCCATAATCCACGCTCTTCTAAAACTAATTTTATACCTTTTGGCTGTCCACTTGGAAGATGCATTGATTGTGCTGTTCCATCAAGCATTAATCCATCTTTAAATTTTTCTTTACCACCAGGTTTAAGATTCATTCGTGAAGCAATAAGAGCATCTTCAGCATATGCTGCGTGACTTGTTGCATTATCAAATGCAAATATACTAATATTACCTGGATGTAATTTTTCAAATATAGGAATTGCTTTTTCAGTTATCTAACATTTATTAAAAGGTAAAATTAGAATATAT